CCCCCAAAAAAAAGGAGATAGAATGCATTGGCCAACTTCCACTGTTGGCCACTCGGTGACAGGCTGGGGACAGTCAACTCCCGGAGACATATGTACGTGAAACAGTTATTATTATTATTATTATTATTATTTCCTTCTAGAGCAATTTATAGATGTGGGCAGGTGCCGGCGGCGAAGCGCGTTCCAAGCTCTAATATACGTTGCCCTGAGGTGTATATTATCTGTGCAATGATGGCCACACACACACGCTGTCATACAAACAGACTCACACCCACACATGGCAGGTATAAGACCTTCATTTGAAAAAGAAAAAGAGAAGGAGAAGGAGGGAAGAGAAGGAGTGATAGAATCGTGCGAGGGAATGGAACGAAAAGAAGGAAAAAAAAAAGAGCAACAAATAATAGTAATGATGCTGCTGTATTCTTTTTTTGAAAACTTTTTTTTTTTTTTTTTTTCTGAAGTGGCAGCGCATTTCTTTGTTTGAGGGGAATGTTGTTTTGGGATGCTGAGCTCTTTTTGTTTAAATATTTTTTTTTTTTTTATGATTTTTTTTTCTTTTTGCGTGGGCGTCCGTATGGACGGCAGCGGAAAACGAATGGATGGTGTCTTCAATGTTAATGGCCAAGAGGAATCACGAAAGCTTGTTGTTGTGAACTGCAGCCAGACACGGTATCATGTCGTGCGGGCGGCGGCTGTAGCGCTGGGGTGGTACGTGGAAGATGAGGGCCGCCGCGATGTTCCCGCCCGTTTCCATGGAGTGGCGCTGCGGAGAGATATGCAGGCGGTCATCAAACGTCTTTTATCACGGGGCCTGTCGTATGATGCAGGCAGCAGCCCACAAATTCAGTGGCTGGACAAGAGTGTGATATCTTCACGTGTTGCTGCGTTGTTTTGCCGTCACCGTGTAAACCACTTTCCCGGTATGCATGTAGTTGCCCGTAAGGCGGTGCTGTTCAAGCGGCTTATGCGCATCCGACGACGGGTGAGGGCTTCTTCACTTCTCGCCACATCTATGCGTGCATTTCCCTGGAGCTTCTCCGCGTCAACGGAGCTGCCCCAGCTGGAGCGGTTTCTCTGTGCTCGACAGGAGCAGCAGTCATCGGATGGCGAGCCTTTTTTTATCCTGAAGCCGAACAAGGGATGCCAGGGGAAGGGAATTATTTTGACACCCGAACCACTCGAGGCGCTCGAACGTCTGAAAGACAAGAGCAGGGATGAATGGCTTGTGCAGCTGTATGTGACGCCGCCACTTTGCATCGAGCGTAAGAAGTTTGACCTTCGTATTTATGTGCTTTTGACATCCGTAGTGGTTGGGCGACCTCCGCGCCTGCGGAGAGGGATTCCACAGACGTTGGGTGGCGAGACGCATGGCAGTCATGCGGGTCCTCTTGACGGTCTGCAGTTGTTTGTCCATCAAGATGGTCTTGTGCGTATCTGCGCGGAAGAGTATGCCAATCCCAATAGAAAGAATTGTGAGCGGGCGAGTGTGCACTTAACAAATTACGCCGTAAACAGGACTGCAGAGGGGTTTTCTATGGGCTTTTTGGAAGAGACAGATGATGGCGGTGTGTGTGAGGGCAACAAACGGGACTTCAAGTTTCTGCAACATTACGTCAACGCACTGCCCGGCGAGGACCAAAGGGTGGAGTCAACTGTTGAAACCGTTGCCTTGTCTCGCTGGGAATGCCTGCTGCGCCGCATCGACATATGCATCATGTTGACTTTGCTCTCTGGCTTGGAGGAGCTGCAGCGGGAGTTCATCGGTACTGGTGCATCACGCGGCTCACGTAGTGATGGACGGAATTGCTTTGAACTCCTTGGATTTGACTTGATGCTGACCGAAGAGCTGGAGCCTGTCCTCATGGAGGTGAATCATTCCCCGTCTCTTTTCTGTGACTCGTCTTTTGACTTTGAGACGAAACGTCGCGTGGTGATGGACGTATTTCGGTTGCTGGAGCCGCACGTGCCATCCATCGAGGTGTGCGACGACGCGTCGTATGCGGCCCACCAGGCGACCCCGCACGCCGGCACCAGCGATGCGTCGGTTGGTTTTCGGCAGATTTCTCCGCAGCGTACTTTTGCTGACAGTGCTGGTGGTGCTGGTGGCCCGTGGTGTGAGGAGGAGATGCGCATGTTTGAGGAGATGCTGCAGCATGCCCGGATGAGTTGATGGTGACGCATTTGATCTCACTTAATTGCGCCCTCTTTTTTTTAATTGCAACGACCCCCAACGATTTATTTATTTATTCTCTCACTTTTTTTTTTTCTTCTCTGTTTCTCTGACGGTTCCTCTTTTTTTCTTTTTTCTCCAGTGTCACCGCAACCAATTACGCCTGCCCACGTCCAAACACACACACAAAAAAAATAATTATAAACATAACTTGACCACGGCAACGACGGCAACGCGCGTGAGTATACACAGTCGCATCGAATACGCTTCAGCCATGACGGCATACCCTTTTCCGATCATTGATGTCTCTCCGCTCTATCAGAACACCGGAGCGGTGATGGAGGTCGCCAAGAAGATTGACGAGGCCTGTCGCACCTGGGGATTTTTTTACGTTGTTGGGCACCCTATTCCACGGGAGCGGTTTCAGGAACTGTCACGGATGGCGAGGAAATTCTTCTCGCTTCCACTCGAAGAAAAGTTGCAGATTGACATCAAAAAAAGCCGACATCATCGCGGTTATGGTGAGGTGAATGCAGAGCAGTTGGACCCCTCAGCGCCCAGTGATCACAAGGAAACGTTTGACATGGGCTGCCACCTGCCGGAGGATCACCCGGACGTTGTTGCGGGTAAGCCTCTGCGGGGGCCGAACCGCCACCCCACTCAGCTGGAGGGTTGGAGGGAATTGATGGAGACTCACTACCGTGAAATGCAACAATTTGCCCTTGTTCTCCTGCGTGCCCTTGCTGTGGCTATTGGTATCGAGGAGGACTTCTTTGTTCCTCGCTTTGTTGAACCATTGAGCGTGTTTCGTATGATTCATTACCCCGCCCTTCCAAAGACGAAGGAAGGACGGCTGGTGTGTGGTGAGCATACCGACTATGGTATCATCACGTTGCTCTTCCAGGATACGAATGGAGGTTTACAAGTGCGTGATTTGTCGGGTGAATGGATTGATGCCCCGCCGTTGGAGGGAAGCTTTGTCGTAAACATTGGGGACATGATGAACATGTGGAGCAACAACCGCTACCGCTCCACCCCGCATCGTGTTGTCAATCCCGGCGTCGATCGTATCTCCATGCCGTTTTTCTGTGAGCCCAATCCCAATGTTGTGATTAAATGCCTTGAAAACTGCCACTCCGCAGAGAATCCCGCAAAATACCCACCAGTTAAGGCCTCCGATTGGCTCCAGAAGCGCTTTGCGCAGACGTATGCGTACCGAAAGTCGATGCTGTGAGACATGAAAGTAGGGAGACGGGGCGGGGCGCAATCGCTTCCCTTTTTTTGTGCACCTCCAAAGTCCAGCAATAAAAGAATGACTGTTGGTGTTTTTATTTTGTGTGCTTCTTTAGCCTTGGACGGTATTTTCTCCCATCTTTTTTTTCCTTTTTTTTTTTTTTGTTCTTTCTTTTTTTTTAAATGATTTGTTTTTGTACGTGTTGATTTGCGCCACATTATTTTCTACTTTACGGCTTTTTTTGTTGATTTTTTTTTTTTTTGGTGCAGCGCCCGCTGCAGGAGGCGGGGAGGGAAAAAGTCGGGGAGACGTGCGGTCTGTCGGGGCTCGAAGGCGAAGTTGACAGTCGCTCCTTGCGATTTTACCGAAAAAAAAAAAAAAAAAAAAAAAAAAAAATGGAGAACTTTGGTCCAATCTTTTTTTGTTGTTTTGTTTTTTCTCCGTTGAATGTTCTAAAACGAAATATCCATATCTGTATCTTTATATATATATATATATATATGGGTAGGTAGATATATAGATAAATGTATATATTTGTTTTTTGAGGGCCCGCGGGATGAATTGTGTGGCTCTGACTGTGTCTTGTAACTTTGCATGGCGGCGTCCTCCTCCCTCCGTGTGCCGCTGCGTAGGCTGCGACGGGGGGCAAGTGTTGGGTCTTTTCTGTCGTCCTGAACCTCTTTTTTTGTTTTTTTTTTTTTTTGATTTCGGGGTGTTTACTGATGTGTCGACACCAGGAGTCATCTTGGGCTCCCCCGCTGGGTTGTTGGATTTATATTTATGCACGTGAGGACAAGGAGGATGCAGAGAAAATGGCGCAAAATTGTTTTTTTTTTTTTTTTTTACTTACATCATCTTCAAATTGGGGAAAAGTAAGGCACGTGATATTTCGGTGAATTTGTGTAGTTTTGTGGAAAATTTTTAGTATTATTATTTTTTTTTTAAGTGGACATCTTTCTTTTTTTTTTTTTTTTTTTTTTTTGTTGTTGTTTTTGATCCTCAGCTCCTGCAATTTATTCCCCGTACTCTGCGTGTTTATTTATTTACTTATGTATTGTGCCTGCATGCGTTGGCTACCGCACCTTTTTTTATTTTCCCCCTTGTCTTTTGAATGTCTCTTGTGCTGCGTGAAACTGCTGCGACTGTGTGAGGGGGCAGCGGGGGTTGTTGTTGCTGTCGCTGTTAGGAGCTTGTGAAAAGAATGATCGCGGGAGAGCTGGCTAACTTAATTAATGAATGTACATCCTGATAAATGCAGACATTCTTTATGATACTTTTCTGCCGTATGAATCTTTTGGGAAGAACGCGACTTTGTAGGGGCAGGGAGCCGATAGAGGCCAGATAATATTTGTTTTTATTTTGCCATCCCACCCACCCCCTTTTGATTCCCACCACGCGGCGGGGTCTTGTGGTTGGAGGACCCTAAAGTCTGCCACTTCGTAAGTAATAATATGTAAATCCTAACTGAGGACTAAGGACCATGCTAGTGGTCCACAGAATTTATATATATATATTGAATGAAAAGAAAACATTGAAGCAATTAACTAACGAACCTTTTTTCCTAACTTGTTTGGTTTCCATAGATTATTTCAGGATCCGGCCAGCTGCCCAGAAGATTATTCTGGGATAAATCGTCTGAGGGCTCCACTCATTTCATGCCCTCACGCGCGGAAGATTTGCAGGAGCTCCTGCAGTACATGGCGCCCGGCAGCACTGTTGATGACATTGTCGGTGGAGGCGATAGCGATGAGGACGTGTCGACGTACGACATTGTGCAGGGGAAGCACGCGGCAACTTCACGGGTGGTGCTGGGGGCTGCACCCGGCAATAATGCACAGCGTGAGACGACATCCATAAGCAAAATGCAGCCAGCGCAGCACACCACTACCCATGCGAGCGTCCTTCGGCGAATACGTGTGGATGACTTTTATGCGGATGTCTCTTCTTTTGCAGGGGGGTCGGGTGGCGCGAGCGTGGCAAATCAGCGGGTGCTAAACGACCTACGGGAAATGACAATGTCAAATCGCCTCATGACAATGCAGTCTTCGAGGGAGGTGGACCGGTCAGAGCGTGCCACTGTGGAGAACGTCATGGATCCACGGACGCGTCTTATTCTCTACAAACTTGTCAACAGTGGCCAACTGAAGGAGATTAACGGCTGTGTGTCTACGGGAAAGGAGGCCAATGTTTACTACGCCATCGCAGGGGACGGGAGTGATGCGGCGGTGAAGGTGTTCAAAACTTCGATTCTTGTATTTAGGGACCGTGAAAAATACGTCGCTGGAGAGTTTCGCTTCCAGAGGTACTGCAAGAGCAACCCACGAAAGATGGTGCGAACATGGGCGGAGAAGGAGGCGCGTAACTTAAATCGGTTGCAGGACGGTGGAGTGTTGGCGCCCGCCGTGAAGTTGTTACGCCAACAATGTGCTCATCATGGAGTTTCTCGGCGAGGACGGCT